AACCCCCAAAAGTAACTACTTTGGAGCCTTAGGGTAACCCTCACGCGTAGTCCGAGAGTTAGCGCAGCTGCCCACGATTGACGGGTGCATCGGGTTTGGCCCTGAGTCACTTGCGCTGACTCCCAGAGCTGAGACCTAGTAGTAGAGTACCAGGACCCTCCTTGTACCCTCAAATAGGGGTAAATGGTCCCAAATAAGGGGCATTTAGGGTCTAATAGAGGGTAGATGGAGGGTAACCTTTAACCTTTTTAGGGTAGTCTAATCCCTATATAACCCCTGTGTAATCAAAAAATAGTTAACCAATAGTCCCCCATGACACCCGAGAAGTAGGTGAAGCTCAAAACCGACTGCGCATGCAACTGCGGAGCCGCATGCCCAGAGAGCCCAATACCCCTTAATTAAGGAATATACCGTCATAGGGTTCATTTAAAAAGGGGTCTAAAAGGGATCTATAGGGATTAGGGTTTCCGATACGCCTTAATTAAGGAATGTAGCTTAAATCATAAGGGGCTTCATAGTATGATTTAAGCTATTTTCCTTAATTGAGGGGTATTGGGCTCTCTGGGCTTTTCCTTCTCTCGATCGGGCTGCATGCATTGGCATCGATGCGTGCTGTAGTATGTAGGCATAGATCCGACAATCCCATCTCCCAAACTGGAACCTCGAACGGCTGATCTCCCAAACATTACATCCTAAAGCTGTGCGGCGCTATACCCATAGGCTTCATAGTAGTTCCTTGTTGGGATTACGTCACAGGATTCTCAATATGGAGCCCAAAAACTACCATGGAGCCTATGGGTATGCCGGTATGCCCAAAGCCCCAAAAGATCAGGCAAGGGGACTTCTACGACCTCGTTGCGCGCCTGCCGCCGCACGGCTTGGTGCATATTGGGACCCACGCGACTTCGTGAATAGGGTTTGGGGGTTTAGGGGTATAGAGTTTAGGTATATTGGGATCGACATGTCCCTGAAAATGCCAGACCACCCGCTGAAGCAGTCTATCCCGAAGTCGTTGATGCCTCGCAGTCCACTCTTCTTGCAGTTGGGAGTCGTAGCTGTTCGTTGCCTTGGTTTGGTGGATCGGGGTTCGGGGATAAGGGCTTGTTTGGTTAGCCCAACCCCGTTCATACTACAGAGCCCCTCAAGGCTCAACCCCCGGTCTGCCCAGTGGTACCCAGAGAGCCCAATACCCCTCAATTAAGGAAAATAGCTTAAATCATACTTTATGAAGCCCCTTATGATTTAAGCTACATTCCTTAATTAAGGGGTATCGGAAACCCTAATGCCTATAGATCCCTTTTAGACCCCTTTTAAATGAACCCTATGACGGTCTATTCCTTAATTAAGGGGGTATTGGGCTCTCTGGGTACGACCGCACCATGGTGCTGAGGCTGCACTGCTGGGCGTGCGAGTGGATATCCCCCAAGCCTGGGGCGGCTTGGCAGTCAGCTTCTTCAGGGTTTGGGGCTTAGGGTTTAGGGGTTTGGGGTTTAGGGTTTGGGGCTTAGGGTTTAGGGGTTTGGGGTTTAGGGTTTAGGGTTTAGGGTTGAGGGTTTAGGGGTCTAGGGTTTAGGGTTTAGGGGTTTCGGGTTTGGGGCTTAGGGTTTGGGGCTTAGTGTTTTTTTGTTTTACGGTTGAGGGTTTGGGAGTACATTGCTGAACCGGACAGCTGCAGAAACCCCAAGGCCAAAACCTGCCAACAAGAGCCAAACCGCATGATTTCGGAAAGGGTCGCGCGAAGGCAATGTGGGTTCAGTTATGAGGAGATGTGATGGTGAAGCTTTCCAAAGACTCGCGGCTCTCCTTTTCGTTGAACTCGTCGAGGTCACGGACCAATCCCAAAAGCCGAAAGCGGTTCCAAGTTCGGACAATGAAAGACTCTAAGCTTGAAAGAGTTAGACGATGCAACCACCAGGAATATTCCTGGTAATGGAGCAGTGATAGTGGTAAGAAAGCATTGTGAATAATTAGTCATGATGATAGTCAGCGGAAAGCAGCAATAATCATACATAGTGAAATATTGGTACTCATCATCGAAAGAAAACTACGGCCTCCGGCAGGCCAGCATAAACTTCGACCCCCCTCTGAGGGACTCTGAAGCAACTGACTCTGACGCACCCCACGACCTTAAACTCAGGGTTTAGGGTTTAGGGCCTATAAACCCTAAACCTCAGGGTCTGGGGCTTAGGGCCTATAAACCCTAAACCTTAAGGGTTTGGGGCTTACGACCCATATCCCGTAATCCGTTTTCCTTTCATCCTAAGCCCAGGTTCTGAAGAGCTGCAGTTTGGTTCCGAAAATCGGCCGCTCCGGGAGCAAGGAGCTACGGTTGATAATATAAATCCTGCATTACCTTAATGGCCTTAAACTATGGGAACTACGGTATATTTACGACCAGGCCGGGGACTGCTTCCTTTTGCTGCGTCTGCTGCTTACCCAGAGGCTCCATAGTAGTTCCTTTTTAGGAAAAATTTGGGGATTACCTTATAGGGTTCTACATATGAACCCCAAAAAGGAACTACTTTGGGGCCTTAGGGTAGCTTAATGTAGGGTTAAAGGTTTCGGTTGTAGGGTCCATTGTTAAGAGTTTTGTGTTTAGGGTTAAGGGTCTAGGCTGCAGGGTTTAGGGTGTAGGGTGCAGTGTTTAGGTTTAAGGGTCGGGGCTTCAGGGTTTGGGGTGTGCGACTTATTCGGTTCTCGTCGTGTTGTTCATAACATCCAGGGTGTTCGGCTTTTTCGGCTCACGTCGCGTTGCACATAACATTCCCCAAACCCGTACATACACGCAGCTTCCTCTAGTAACTGCAGCATCAAAGTTGGAGCTCGGTTTTGGAGTCGGGTGATTGCTGCTGTTGCTCCATCCCTAAGGCCTAAAGGCTTTTCCCTAAACGTTTCAAAAACCTTGTATTAAACCCCTTTGTCACAAACTCGAAAACTATGTTAAGCCCTGTTTTAGACCCTGAACCCTTATCAGGACCTGAATCCTAGGAACACACCAAGGGAGGGCTTCAGCTGGCAGCGCCGATCGCCTGCCCCGAAGAAGTTGGAAAGAGAAGCGCTCACCGACTAGCTTATGGTACGAGGCTTATTCCTTGGTGTTGCTTCGTGTTGTCCATGCTTCGTGTTGTCTATCGCCCCAAACCCTGTTCTGCTTATTAAGGCGGCTTTCTTACTGTTTCCATCAGCGCAGGAACATCCCCATCGTGCATCGTCTGGTGCATGTTGAACATATTAATTATGGCATTTTACAAAAGTGTCGTTGTCAAAGGGCATTATGTACTACGTCATGGTACGTCCTTACAGTCATGTTTCGTCGTTCTGCTGTTTGCAGGGTTCCCACGCAAAGCAGATAGCTCAGACTTGGTTGTGTGCAGATGCTGTCGTCTACATGCCCAAGGGCTTTCTTGATTTAGTGATGTTGCATCGCGTCCTCAGAACCGGCCGGGCAACACATCTTCCAAAGGGCCTGAACAAAATAGCGGGGTGAGCCAGCCCACTTACAGGTAGCTATCTGCTGCGCCCGAAGCCGCTTGTGGCTTTGGGGTTAATAGCCCCGTATTTTAGTCCCTGAGAAACTATAAGACGGCATACCCTCGAAACCCAGAACCGGAAAGGATCGTGTTACGTGCTTTTGTGGGTCCTACGAGATAGCAATACCACAAGGACGCGATACCGCCCGCTCCCTTCCTCTCACTCCTTACCCCTCTAAACCCTATGACCCTGAACCCTATTTGGCACTGTCAGAAAAAGCTGGGAAAGCCAGGAACCATGGGTGTGGCTGGTTAGTGGCAGGGTTGTGCAGGGAGCGCAGTGCGAACAGCGTGATGTGTTTTGCTGTTTATGCCCGTCCACGCTCTATCCTCCCTTTTTTTGCGCTTCCTCCTCGCCCTTGCTTGGTCCAGCATAGTCACACTAAAAGCTGTCAATGAGGCGCCCTGGCCATGTCGCGCTTGATGTTGTCTCGCTGTGCTCTGTGCTGCTGAGCCGCGAAGGGCGACGGAGAAGCACAGCACGCCGCCGACACCAAAACACAGTACGTGCCAGTTTTGATTTTTGATGTGCCACATGACATGTTCAACGATGGCAATCCGATCGGGAAACCTGATCCACGTTTTGGTGCCCTGCAGAAGCTGCTGGCGAAGCTTCATGTGCCACATTATTGTTGAAAAAATCAAGCAAAGGAAGCCAATGGTCAAAGCCCTTGGGCCCTGGGCTGTGTGGACACGGCGATCAACTGTGCAACTGCATGTCTGAATTTGAGACTGTATGGAGGCCACATCGTGTTTCGGGATTCCGATGTCCTGCATCGGTAAATGTGACGCAACTGCTGCTGCCAGACTAAGCCCCTCAGCCTGCTTGGGCTCGATGATGAGTTTATGGCAAACGCAATATCTCAATAATTTCACTCGCGGGGTGCTATGCAACTGGGAATCTGGAATGGACCGGGTGCATGGTTGCATATGAACGCGCTGAACTGCATCGTATCTGCCCGGACTCTGACTGTCAACATGTGCTCATCATCCCTACGTGAGGAGGTGAGACCAGGCTCACAGACCCTTATGGTTTGCAAACTGACTGTTAAGGGTCTGTGTTACTTTGAACTTAAGAGACTTTTGAGGGTCTGTGTTATTCTGCACATGACATCCACTTTCACGTGCCTTTTATGGGACAAACTAGGGCTTGGTTGATCCCAGCAATAGGCTGCTGTCAACAGGATGGTAAGTTACTTGTGCGTAATTAGTTGTTTCTGGCGTAAAAATTCATCGTGCTTGACAGCTTGGCTCATCGGACGATACCGGTCTGATGTAGTCGTTAATGTTCTGTGGAACCAGTATCGTTGCAGACCTTGCCAGGCTTGTCCGCGTGTGAGTGTCAAAAAACCCAAACTTCTGCCTAGACCCCCCAGCTACCATCTTATATGCCCCGAATACCCACTATTAGGGACCTTAAGCCTATTGAAGGGCCATTGGGGGGTTCCTGGTGCAGCCCAACAAGGAGCCATGGGCCTCATCGGCCGGACTCTGGACGCCCTTGAGGCGGAGGTCGTACTCAGCATTGGCAGAGCCCCGGCCGCGGTGTGCCTTGCGGTTTCGGGTTAGGGTTTAGGGTTCAGGTTGAGGGATTAGCTGGCATATGCATAGTCCAGGTGTAAAAGGTTGAGGGATTAGGCTTTAGGGAGCAGCGGATCTGGCTAGTCGTCAAGCCCATGAGAACAAAAGGGATTTACAACAAGGGGTTTAATCACAAAAAAGGCTTAATTAGGCTATAGGACGTCAGGGTTGAGGGTAAGTTCAGTTCACCTGGTTTATGCTGTACGACTCTTGCAAGTATGATCAGGTGCCAGAAGGCCAAAATCAGGGTTTAGGGGTTTGGCAGTCGATGCCAAGAACGACACCGAGCAACTCAGCGCAAGGCCTTCACTTCAAAACTTCATTGTAGACCGTGGTGCTGCTTCTTTTCACGGTCCACCTGCATGCAGACCGTGACGCCGCTGTCAGGTGGCTCCGGGCTTATTGAATGGCTTCTCTCGCCGCGATTTCCGGCACTGGGCTCAATGCTGCAGGAGCATGTAGAGCATTTATGTTGATTCTGTTTTGTCCCAGTGTGTTCACTGATTCTTACATGTTTGTTGCGTGTACTGGAATGTACTTCTGCTACTTGTACTGTGCGTGGGGGGGACCTTTAAAACTTCCGTATGTTTCCGTGCAGTTGGATACAGCTTCAAGGAATAATGCCACGTATCCCCGCCTGGCTTCTTGGAGTCAGACGCTTCGCACGGCTCCCTAATCCGTGAAACCAAGCTTCTGTCATAAAACCTTTAGCGCCTTGAAACTACCCATAGGCTCCATGGTAGTTCCTTTTCTGTGGTTCAGAGTTGGAATCCTATAAGGTAATCCCACAAAGGATCCAAGAAGGAACTACTATGGAGCCTTGACCATAAAAGTACCAAGCCCTAATAAGCCGACAAGGACTTTCAAAGCAGCCCTGGTACCACCGCCTAAATGAAGGCCCTTGTCAGCTCGGGTTCGGCTTTTGGTAGCAGTTTTCAGTTCCCAGGTGTGAAAAGCAGACTCTCAGTCACAAAGCAGGACGCACAACCAAAGCAAGAGCAAGGGCAATGCTTGAGGTCAGATCGGACTTCTAGTCCCGCAAGGTTAACTGCACACCGCCCCAGTCTTTTCCTAGATGTCACTCAAAGTGCGAACATGCATAGTGTGCATTTACGCAAGTCGGTGACAAATTGCACCAATCAAGACCTCAAACAAGGCTGGGCTTGTGGGTGCCAGTGTGTGCATATATGCCGTACAGTAGACACAAGTGTACTTGAAGCTTTTTACACGTGTTTGGAATGGTTGATGCCGCATGCGTTGGGTCTTCATGATATAGTAGCGGTGCCAGCATAATATGCGCAGCAGGATTTCGGGCGCAATTGGAAAGAGAAAATCTAGTATGGAAAGGACCAATAAGTGTCTGTGGTCAAAAAAGAGGGAGCATAGAACCAATGAGCACAAGCCGTTTCGCCATGATAGTATGTAGCAGAAAGCTGTTGTCGTGTAGGGCCCGTTGAGAACGATGACTGGCAAACAGAGTCAGTCGTAGGATCGTATCAGAAACAAGGGAGCGTAAAGTACGAGAGCCGAAAGTACACCTAAGCCACCAATCCTAAACAGCAGAATCCCTATTTTCGGTACCCTTTTTCGAGGAGCGTCGAAGTTCACGAGACCCCCCTACCCCCAAATAAGACCGTGACAACATCCCTTCCTCATGTTTCTCAAAACAAGCACCCCCCCAACTTGAAGAAAACTCCATAAGGTAGTCTCGGTGGACTTCTATTACCAGCCAAGCCCTGCCGGTGCCCTGCTTACGGGAGTTTAGGATGTTTTAAATTGGATGCTTTCACGTGTAGAGCTTTTGGTTGGGTGTTCGGCACTGTGGGATTGCACTGGCTTTCCGAGTCGTTTGTGCAGGGTAACTTCTGACCGTGTTTACGTCTGCTGCGGATTTGTGCGTTTGTTGCCACTTCTCTCTTCTTTCGCACGAGTCATTACTGAAGAGCCGATGCGGGATCGTACGTCATGAGATCAGGCAGCGTGGATCCATGGGTCTTGCCACCTCTTCATGACGAGGTCAAGCGTGCCTTGGATGGTTTGTGTTGCGACACGAGCTGTCACGTCTTGCTCCCCTCCGAACGTTGCATAGCGCCGGGGATTAGAGGGGTTGAAGTTCAGAATTTGTGTTCGGGATTTGCGCTGGGAAGCGGGTAGAATCTATAAAGCTTGCTAGAGGCCACGGCTACATTCCAAAACCACCGGCATGACGCTAGTGAAGAAGATGTGCATCTGTTTCTCTTGTCAGCACGTCTGTCATAGCAGGGTTTTGGGACAAGAATCCTAATGCGAATTTTGGAGAACTCCCTCTGAGGTTCGTGGCAAGCGGACGGATCCGGCAGCATCGCCTTTGCTGCCTGTCACTCTTTGATGTTCTATATACCAAGAAAGTTGGAACATGGATTTAGGATGATTAGTGCTAGGACTCTCTATAATTTACCTTAAGGGCATGAGGATAATGATATTCCAACTTTCTGGCTTCCGCTGTAAGGCTTGTAGGGTGCAGGTTCAGGCTGATGACACTCTTGCCTGAAAGTATCGGGGTTGGCTCGATGGTGTCGGCCGGACGTTGTCAAGACCTCGAAGGGAGGATCTGTTCATCGATCAAGCCCGATCGGAGATTTTTCAGGCAAGCCACGACCTTCAGCCCTCCTGAATTCCTGTTTGGCGGTTCCGGTAGTGAAAGTCGAAAGCCTACCTAGACCTTCCCTAAATGCCCCTTATTTTGGACCAGTTATCCCTATTTGACGGTACAAGGACAGTCCTGGTAAATAAAGCACAGACTTGAAGCTCAGGTGAGCCCCGGCGACGAGCCTTGGGATGCGGACATGTCCAGGGAATGCCTTAAGTAGTAATATGATCCCTCTTGCCTTAAGAATATGGTCTCATCGACCCCGAAACCCTTGTTTAAACAGATGTTCAGGTTTAGAAGCTCACGGGCCGCACGAAGCAGGGTCTGTCCGTCAGAGTGGGGAAACAGGTGCTGGGAACGGGGAAAAGCCAGAAACTCACAGGTGCAACCTGGAAGCCCTAGCCGATACCCATATGATTCTTAGTAGTTCCTTTGTGGGATTACCTATTATAGGAATCTATATATTATGAAACCACAAAAGGAACTACCATGGAACATATGGAACGGTATTCTGTGAAGCCAAATTACGGTTGATGATATAAATCCTGCATTACCCATAGTAAAGAATGTACCATAATTCCCATAGTTTAAGGCCATTAAGGTAATGCAGGATTTATATCATCAACCGTATCTGCGCAAGTTCATGAGAGCCCCAAGGCGAGAAGGCTAAATCCTCAAAACCTATCTGGAGCATCATGGGACTTAGTAAGTAAGGGTTCCTTAAAGGGCTCCTTAAAGGGATCTGTAGGGGTTCCTTAAAGGGATCTATAGGGTTTAGGGTCTAGTTGGAGGATCATGGGACTTAGTAAGTTATGTTATATGTGCCTTACTTGGGGTTATAAGTACTTGAAAGTATAGTTACCGTATTGATAACCCTATTTACTAAGTCCCATGATCCTTTAAGTAAGCCCCAAACCTTCACGTGATCAACACCGCTAGACCCTACCTGTAGTCTCCATTGTAGTTATTGTTTGGGGTTGCCTTATAGGATCCTAATTATATGTTCGGTTAAACCAAAAAAGGAACTACAGTGGAGACTATAGCTATAGGTAAACCTTGAACGATCCTCAACCCCTCACAACCTGGAGTCCTGGACGTGTGTTTGACGGCCCAAAGGACTTATCAATGCAGGGTGTATCTACCCGCAGTCAGTTCTTGTTTACTGAATCCCTGATCCTTCAAGTAGACTACATGTAGACCGCAAGTTCAAGCCCCAAACACGCTCCCTGCGAAGTCCCTAAGTAAGCCGAACATCACTGAGCCAAGGACCCCGCTCTCGTGGCTGCCCTTGGCAGCCGTCGCGCCGTAGCTTTGTTCGTTTGGCCTCAGTCCGGGTGCCAAGGTTAACCGAGGGAACCTCAGGGTAGAGTATTGGTCGCGTAGTCTGAGTACTATACTTCGTACCACACTTATGTGTAACCTGACTTTTCGGTTAGAACTGGCCACCTACACCAGGGAGCAGTTTGGGGCTTGGTTGCCGGATTTTTTTGTTCAGGTGCTGGGTTGCAGGCCTTGAGGTTTCGGGTCGGGTGCAAGGTGCAACGTCACCGGCTTCACCAGATGCGCGGCAAGTGGTACTGTCGTGACTACGTTGAAACGTGTCAACATCATGTCAGACTTTGCGGGAACCTGCCATGTCTTGTTCAAACCCCACGGAGATCCGCAGAGGCTGGACCTTGCAGCTGTCAGCCACTATGCCAGCGTAGCTGGGAGCCAGCTCGGCGGAATGGTCTTCGTGGTGGGCGATAATTGCCGCTCGGCACCCTATATTTGGTCAATCAAGGCACGACCACCAACTTCAACAGAAACAGCATGCTGCAGGAGAGTTGCGCCGACTGCTCGTCAAATAGATCCCTTATAGTGATCCGAAGTAATATTTCTGATGCTCAGGAACGGCAACAGCAATGAGGCTATGGTTACATGTTGAGTAGTCGTTGAGACCCGGATGCTCGACTGTCTGCTGCTTAGTAGGGAAGAAGGCAATGGCTCCCTCTGGTAGTCCCTATACAATCCCCAATCATAGTCTTCGAGGACTCCATAATCTTAGTAGCTGAGTGGATACACGGTACACTTTTTGGGATACTATTACCCGCTACAAAACTGAAAGTTTACACTTTTTCGGGCTTATGAACTCAGCGACTATCAGTAATGCATTCCCCCATTCACTACGGTTGATGATATAAATCCTGCATTACCTTAAGGACCCTAAAAATATGGGAATTATGGTATATTCCTTATTATGGTTACTCATAACAGTAATAGTATTAGCAATCGTAATGGTAATAGTAATCGTAATAGTAATAGTAATAGTAATCGTAATAGTAGTAGCAATAGCAATCGTAGTCTCCATAATCCATTCCCCCATTCCCTGTTAAGAGAGACTCGAGGTGCCCCGGTGCCGACGGCCGCTGCCGCCGCCTTTGGGTGCAAACTCCTAGGGCCAGAGGAGGCCCGTGGTCGCTTATAGTATTATAGCCCCAAGGATCCAGAGGACCCAATAATTAGGTACTCTGCTTTAGGATAGTAGTTATGTAGGTTAGGATTTTGGAGAGTATATGATTATTAGGTACTTGGACCCTTGGGGTAGGGGCCTTAATAATTAGTTGCTATAATTGCGGGGTAGTATAAGGGTTTCTTGATCTCGCTTTGCTTACAACTTTGTTTGCAGCGGTTTAGCTGCACGGCTGTCTGAGTTTGAGAGAGTCCAAATGACTGTTACGCTCGCGATCTCGCAGGTGCCCTGCCTCACGCAGCCCTGCGAGCTCTGGAGCTTCGCGATGTCGAGCGAAGAAAATGGGGTTTGTGTGCGGCTCCAACTGCGCACTGCTCTGGCGGCCTTTTACCCCGTAGTTTGAGGGGTTGTTACCTACCATTTCGCAGCTTAGTGATTTCACTGGAGTTCTTATCATGAGAGGTCCTGATTCCCGTCCGATTTGTTTACAGTACTGGAACTCTAGGTCTTGAATGGTCTTGATCCTTCAGATCCCGCGGTATGAAACTTCTGGTTGCCTGCAGGATTTCTGAACTTAGGGTGGAGGGTCTCGACGTTTGCAACCGCAGAAACTGAATTCGAAACCTCTCGGATTAAACCACATGTTACCCCATGAAACCTCAAGCGCACTCCAAGCCCTGAATGCAGTCCCCAAAACTTAGATCCCCAATACCCAATCTTTTTTGGCTTCTTGTAGTTCAGTAGGAATCGGAAAGTTGAACCTTTCATTTTTGTGTCTTATTGGGGAAGTTACCAAAGGGCATTCCGGGCCAAAGGCTCAGGGTCTAGACCGGGGAGCGAGGCCTGTCCTATCAACATTGGTTCATACACAGAACCGATAAATCGAACACCATAGATTAAAAATAAAACAATATCGATAAATGGGCAGCCCCCAAACCCTATAAAATCGAACCAGCCTAAGCCCGAACTTCGAATGGGGAGTTGGAATTTAGGGTGCAGGGTTTGGGTGTTCAAGCTCATTCTGTCGTGCCAGCTAACCTGAAGAGCCTGGGTCCTTCATTTCGCAGAGTACGGCTACTTGTGTTTAGGGTGTTGGCTAGAGGAACTGCACCTGTCCCAAGGATGGCTTGGGCAACTTAACGCTGTAAGCATGATGAGAGGATGTGTGACCTCCCGACCTTGTTGAATTTTGACTCTTTGCTGGTATGTCTTGATGGGATTTGATGGGTTGAGAGGGAATTTCCCTAATCTCCCGCGAGGCACCAGACATTATGTCCAAGCCTTCTTCCGCGACGCTTGGGCCTCAGACTTAAGGCAACCGCGACGCCTGAACCCTGCCCGCCCCGCAGCGAGGTCAGCTACAAGACCACAAGATCAGATTAAGTGAGTTTCTAGATATGGGTGGCTGTCAAGATTATGGTCCCTTTTTGGGTCCCTACTATAGTACGGCACCTAATATTTAGGGTACCCAAAAAGAGACCATAATCTTGACAACCACCCATATCTGGGTTTTACAGACAGCTCAAGGATTCTCAAGCACCTCTCTTGATGTACGCCTGCAAAAAAACTCAAAGCCGTAAACTCGTGACCCGTAGGCCTAAACAGTTTACCCAAACTACCGAGTTTCACCTCAAGGCGCCGGCGCCCTGCCGGGCCGACCTCCGGCGCAGGGGTTCCAGAGAAGGCTCTTTTAGGTTTAGGGGTCTAGGTTTTGGGGATTTTGGGGTTTAGGGGTGGGGGGTTCGGGGTCTGGGGTTTAGCGGTTTACGGCTTGGGATGGAGAGTATTCAGAAGCAATTTTTGTACATGTATAATGTGCGTGTGGCTGTGTCTGTCGTGTATGAATATGTGTATATGTAGGTAGGTATGTATGTATTTCTATGAGTTTGTTTCCTAACCTGTTCTTCAACTGTTGTTTTGCGGTGTTACGGGGTTGTACGGGGCTTTCATTGGGTGTTGGAGTTCATAAGAGTCTTCGTGCACCGTTGGGGTTGAGGGCCGATAGTCCCTATACCAATATACTTGAAAAGGCCCCCAAGACCCATTCTATTTATGAAGGCCTTTGTTTCTTACCATTACAACGCACTTGCGGCTTGCAAACGCCGAGGTCAGTCGCTAGACCCCCTAAGTACTCTCTAATGTACCCTAACATCCCACCACGAAGGGCCATAAGGACTGTTTTCAAGGGCCCTCGGACTTGAAGGTAGAGCTCAATTGAATGTACACGCAGGGCAGCTGGGAAACTCTGGAGGTTCAGGCTTGTTGTGGAGTTTGGGCATTGTGAAACTTGTCTGCACATGGAAACTGCTTTAGCATAGTAGTACTACTACCTGGCAATACCTTTTGCATCTCATGCGGCGTGTGCAGACTAATAATTGAGAATAACCACATATAGTCATCGAAGGACTGAACGAGTATCCGGCTCAGCGTGAGTTGCCAAGAGGTCTCAGGGCAGGGTAACGAGCCAGACGCGGTATTTACCCGAGGCCGCAAAAAACCTCACATTCCGATCCTGATTTTGACAGTTTTCAGGCGAAATACTTCCAAACGGCACTCTACATCCCAAAGCGTAACGCTGGTCAGAGCTCGAGATCTTACTTTAAGTCCTGGTTTCTTGAGCCCTGAAGACGCAGGGCGAGGAGACCCGAGATCCGCTGGAGAAAGCGGACAGCGACGACGTCGATGTTCGCCCGAGGCGTACCCGAAGTTACTATAGGCGCCTGAATTGTTACCAATACTATTTTGAGGGCTCCTTATCATGGTTTAACGGGCCCCCAAACCCCACACTAATTAGTAAGGCCCCTATCCTAGGCTTCAGGGTTAAGGGGGCATGGGGAAGCTTGTGGAGCGAAGAGATCGAACCTCCAAAAAGGTTTAGGTAGGGTTCAACAGGGTTGAGGGTTTAGGGTTCTTACAATTGGGAGCTGAGTTTCTGAGAGCTGCGAAAGGAGCTTAAAGCTTCGCAGGAGCCGGGGCAAAACCCAAGGTTCTAAAGGCTCAAGAGTTCCAGGGATCTAGGAGGGTTCCGGAGAACCACAGACAGGGCATGTAGCAAAAGGCCCAGGCACTGACTCATGCACCTCTATAAATTTGAGAATCTCCAAAGTGTCAGGGTTTAGGGTTGTTTTTGAACTATAATGTCATAATGTTGGAGTTTCCGAAAATACAGTAGGGGACCCTAATATAGTACCCTAAATAGTACTGGTAGGATCCTTGTTATTTGGACCTCCCCAAATTAGGTGCCCCTTATTTTCGGAAACTCTCATGTGGTCCATGTCGGTCATGTTGAGCTTTAAGATGGTCGAACCCCAGCAGGGACACTTGAAACCATGTGGGAGTCTCCGAAAATGGGGGGGGGGGGGGGGGTTTACCTTATTTTGGGGTCCTTATAATAAGGATCCTAATATTTAGGGTCCCCATTTTCGGGCACTCCCATGTGCAACGATACACGTGGGGAGTTTCATCAACTGCTCGAGTCATGCGTTTGCCCGGATTTCTTGTTTGCGGTCAATGCCTCCCCCAAGACTTCAATGAAGTCCGGCATGCGCTGTGCCCTTGATCTTGGCTGCAGCTTGGGGAACTCCCTAGCGAAAAAGGGTGCTACTAGCACCAAGGGTTCCGTTTATATAGTCTTATACATCCCGTGCTTATATAACCCGCACGACACTCTCCCTTAAAAATTATATTTTTTGCCCTATGTTGAAGCCACAGAGGGAAAAAGTTGACATTCCCGGAACCTCCCAAGCCTATAAGCCCCGATGTCGTAGCACCGCGAGATTGCAAGCTCTCCAAACCCCAAAACCTGCGTAGTGGGCTTCGTGCACATCTTGCCTAGCATGTAGTACAATCCCTATAAATTCCGCACGGCGAACCTTTGGTTTCTCTAGGATACTGGTTGAGGGTTTAGGGTTTATCCTACTTATCCTACTGGTAGCATCTTGTAGCAAGTGTGCTAGGATGCCCAGTAGTACCCTTATTCCCTTTTTGCAGTCCTAGGCTCCTCATAAAGTTACCCAATACCAAAAAGGGAGCCCTGTTTGTTCCTAGGTTACTGGGCATCCTAGTGTGTGAAGAGTAAGCTCAAGGAGTCTCGAGGAGGCTCTTGAGCCCTAAGCTCCAAATCTCGAAGCTGCAGAACCGAAGTTGAAGAACTTCCCGAAAACTTTTGGGACTACCGTAAAAGGTCACCGCAGGGTGATCTATAAGAGTTCTATAGATATTTCGGGTCTCAGCTCATCAAACTCTCCAAATCTAAACTTTGAAGGCACCCGAGAGCCCACTTCTCTGGCGGCGTGAAGCGGCAGCCCCGGTCACGACTTCCAAGTTGCCATGGTAACGAAAGCACCGCCGAATTACTATACATCGACCAAGGTGTTAATTTTGGAGTAAAGGTCCCGTGCCCAAGTCTTAATGCGAATACAAGTGAATGCTGTGGGGAAGTGGGAGAGTGGCGTTCCACAAAAGGCGCTGGACCATTCGTGCCGGGTACAGGGAGCCCTCACTGAAGACTTACATCCTCAAGCCCGGATAACTAGAGCAGCGTTTTGGGTCCTCTTCTTTGTGGAAGCTTTCTGAATAAGTCAAAGCTTTGGTTGACCTGCGCGCACTTTAGGAATGCCGGCTTGGAGACGCTTCCAGAGGAGCCGAACAATCGGCTGCACAAGCTATACTTTGAGTTTGGGGTTTCGAGTTGGGGTTTTGGGATTACATGCGTCTATCGATGCCAGGCTTAGTAGCTGAGTGGGTAACCTTCAACCTTTTGGGGTTTATACAATCCTACCAGCTATAGGGTTAACTTTTTTTTGGGCTAAGGTACTCAGCCCTACCCAGACCCTCGCGAGGTTCTGGAAAGTAGATCCCCTAATTTGGGGCCCTATACTACTAAGGGTGCTTTATAGGAACCCCCTTTAAGGGATCTACTTTTGGATCCTCAGGGACCCTAACCCCTAAACTCTAAAGCCTAAACCCCTAAACAAGGGATCTACTTTTTGGATCCTCCGGGGGGGTCTGGGTAGGCAGAGCCCTTCTTGCAGCCTCCGACTCAAGGGCCTGGCAGGGCAGAGTCGAAGGTTCACTGTTGCGATTTGGGGGTTTCCGAAAATTGGGTCCTAAATTGGGTCCTTATCATGAGGATCCTACTATTTAGGGTGCTACATTAGGGTTTCGGAAACTCCCATTTGCTTCTGGAACCAGGTGTGAACCAGGTCGGCCTTCTTTGCACTCGGGCCCTACATAGTAATGCAGGGGCCTGAGTACTTAGAATAATAATTGGAATAATAGGTAACTAAAAAACTACAATAATAGTATAATATATACCCCCAAAGCCTATTCTAATTATTCTAATTATTAAGGCCCCTCAAAGTCCAGGGTCTGACCCCCCGAAGCCGGGTGGGAGGCGCCACTTCTGGCCCATGCAACACATCGATTTTCCCCATACCCACTAAAGGGCACTGCAGGATTCTATACTAGTAAGGGCCCCTTTATGGCAAGGGTACTATAGGGTTCTGCAACAGGGCTCCGTTTAAATGGAGCTTCCCTTAGCCGTTTGAGGATGTTAAGACTCAGGGCCTAGGGTTTAGGATCTACGAAACTTCGTAGCCCCACGTGGCGGCTTTCTCCGTCGGCCTTCCCGTCCTGACATGAGATCAGGGTTGGAGGGGCAGGCGTAGCTGTAGAGGCATGCTTAAATACTTGAAAAAGTTTAGGTTCAGGGGTCTGAAGTGAATTATGTAATTGTAAGTGTTTAGGTTTAGAGCCCTTCGGCCTATCAAGGTGGATTAATTACCCCCAAAACCTGAGCTTTCTTCTTGAACAATCGAACAGTCTCGGAGTGGTTCACCTCAACCGACCACGCACTAATAAACCCTAAACCCTAAAACCCTAAACCCTAAACCCTAAACCCGTAGGGGCCTTAAGAATTCGAACATGGTTCTGGAGGTTCCTTCTACGGGAGTTTCCGAAAATTAGGGGTACCTTATTTTGAGGTCCTTATAATAAGGATCCTACTAATTAGAGTACTATATTAGGGTCCTCTATTTTCGGAAACACCCCATACTTAGAGTATACGACACCCCCAAACCCTAGTCTAATTATTAAGGCCCCTGCGGTAACCTCGCCTGGCCTGTCCGAGCTCTAGTCCCGAAAACTAGGCTCTTTGGGAACCCAGAGACTCCAATATCCCTTAATGAAGGAATGTGCCTTAAATCATATGAGGGATCCTACTACAATTTGAGGTAAAAACTACCTTAAAAGATATTCCTTAATTAAGGGGTATTGGAGTCTTTGGGAATTGGATTGGCGCAGGAGGGCGAAGCGTCCGACGACTCCCCAGCGCGGGGTGCGGCAGCAGAGGACGAAGCGAATAGGAGAACTTCTATAATCACTCGGGGATTTTCGGATCTCAGATCTAGGATTGCTCGGCTTATAGTTGCATAGGACCTCCACACATCACGGCACAAGTGTAGCGCTTGTCCGAAGCACCGTAGTTTGCACAGATTTGCAAACTACGAAGAAGCAAGTCGTTGTACCGTAGTAGTAGCTGTACCTCTTACGCGCGGGACTTGCAGCTTAGATCCGCTTTGTGTACCAGGGTTTAGCAACAGTAGCCCACTACAGTGATAACACGGTGGCAAGTGGGTTTCTAGGATGTAGCTTCGCGTGACTCTTCCACCCGAAATTTCTATAGCGACGACGCCATGAACATAAGGTGAACCCTTATAGAGCCCTTGCAGAAGACCCTACATCATGGCTCCCCGTCGCCCTGTAAAAAGCAGGACGGCGAGGATGGTCCTCGGTGCGCCCAGCTGCTACCCCTTTTGCATGTCTGCTTCAATACTGAGGGGCCTCAACAAGTACCTGTACTGTATACTATTTTGGGGGGGTTCCTTATTATATTTGGATTTATAATATACCCCAAAACCCTATCCTTTGTATTAAGGCTTATAATACAAAGGATAGGGTTTTGGGGTATATTATAAATCCAAATATAATAAGGAACCCCCAATTATTAAGGCCCCCATATTCCGCCTGTAGAAAGTTCTGAGATTTGGGGTTTGACTATAGGTTCAGGGAGCGGTAAGGTTACAACTTACTCGAGCATCGGGCAGTAGGGTTGGTGAGAGCCTGTGCGACCCGGCGGCTGTTCTGGTCGACGAGCTTCAGAATAGTCATGGAAGCAGGAAGACCAACTGTGATGTTGCATGTTATTCTAGAACGGGAGTACAAGGGGACGAAGCTCCATCAACCCTGGCATAAATTCTAGATTACCCGAAGCCCTACCCTGAACCCTACATCGCACTGTAGCCTCTGCTACTTCAGACGTGGAGCACTTTTGCAGAACTAAAGCACACGTCCCACCAGACCACAGCCCCACCTCGACACGCCCGAAACCTGAGCCGTGAATGACACCTGTTCTGTACTCAGTTTTTGGAAACCTCGCAAAGAGCGACCCACCTATAACGGGCATTTAACTTAGAACACTACGCATATGGACACTTTTGTACCGTTGGCCACCTGTGCGATACAGTCGGTGGCTACAGCACTTTGGCTGAACATTTTCGTCATGTGGGCTCGGCATGCGGGCTTCCTTGGCTCGGGGATGGTTTAGGGGTTAGGCTTCAGGGTTTACGGATTTGTTTTGTGAGCCTTTGCTCTCATTAGAGCCCTCTCTGATACCAGACGACACGGTGTGATCGCCGTTGTGCTGCAAAAGGTGGAATAGCAGGTTGGCTGTATCTGTGTTTGTATGTGTCCACATACACCCACGCACACACACACACACACACCCACACACACACACACACACACACACACACACACACACACACACACCCACGCACACACACCCACGCACACACACCCACGCACACACACCCACGCACACACACCCACGCACACACACACACACCCACGCACACACACCCACGCACACACACCCACGCACACACACACACACCCACACACACACACACGCACACACACCCACGCACACACACCCACGCACACACACCCACGCACACCCACACACACACACACCCACACACCCACACACACACACACACACACACATACACACACACACAACACACACAACACACACACACACACACCCACGCACACACACCCACGCACACACACCCACGCACACACACCCACGCACACACACCCACGCACACCCACCCACGCACCCACACACACGCACACACACACACACGCACACACACACACACACACACAACACACACACACACGTAGATGTACACCACGATCCCGAAAGCCCAAACTTTGGCGGGGAGATTCAGAAAGGAAGAGTATATTTATTTAGATAGCACCCTACAAACAGGGATCCTTGGACCCCGAGCAGGTATCAGGCATTTGATACTCCTGGCATTCAGAAGCCGCAGATATGCGCTGCTTGATCGTTGCGTCGTTGTAGAATTTAAGCTTGTGGGGGTCATACAGAGTGCCCATGAGCCGGGACTAAAAGCTTGAGATTTTCTGTCTGTGAACTGAACTTTGAAGAATTGGGACCCTGCTTCTGGGCTCCAAGAATCTGCAATCAAGAATTCTCGTAGTTTTGCGTTAAACATTAAATGAAGCCGCTCATCCGTTTCAGTAAACGCAGCGACATTTTCTTGCGCTCGTGCAATGTCTATCCCATGCTGAGCGCTGAGGTCGCTACTTGCTCGGCAGTGGGCGTGCATGCCCGTCGTCAAGGAATTAGGGAGTGGTGGACATGTAGCCGATTGCTCAAGCTTCAAACGATTGAAAATGCATAGGCGTTTCCGAGGTTGTTTTTATGAAGGTAGACTGTGTCCTTGCGGCCTATAGCAACAAGATGCTGCATATTTCAGCTTAATAGCACCGATGTTTCGTCAGAGGCATGTCTTTCACTGTCTTGGTTCAGTGTCCAGAACTCAGAAGAACCCAATACAGTATTCGGACCATCCGATTTCGCAAGTCCACTGCAGGTTCCTTTGTTTCTACGGGTGTCCCCTTTGCAGCATTCACTTCAGCACCACATGTTTCTCCTCGATGGCCGGCAATTGGATTATCAACGCCTAGATGCCTAAAGCCTCAACCCCTGCTATAGAACGGTGAGGCTTTGAAGTGGTGGTTCTTGACGTGACTCGCTTCTTCGCTGCGTCATGACTTCTTTGCCCAGAGTTTCAAGCACGATGTTTGATAAGCTTCATGTTGATCACCCTGCTCTGCAGGCATCGTCCAGGCAGGTTGGTGGCATTTGAACGCGGCAGTGTTACAATCCCAAAAGCCGAATTATGAGCCCGATAAACTCTAAACCCTATGCTCAAAACCCTTATATACCCTCAACCCTAAACCCTAGAAGCCTGAGAACGCCCGGATCTCTCCGGCCTCGAGCGCTCGCGGAGGACTCCTCCAGGAGTCCAACGAGAAATTTTTGGATAAGTGCCCAGCCAGCGAAGATCATAGCGGGTGCTAGAAGAGGTCGACAAGGACTATAGACAATACCTTAACCCCAACTAGCCTACCTTTTTTAAGGCCTTTCGGAAAGAACTCATATTAGGGAACCCTGAAAAGGTTGGTTATTTGGGGTCCAGGCAGTTGATAATATAGGTTTAGTCAAGTTTAGTCCTCTTGAGAAGGCATGGGACCTTGTGCTCTGGGACCGTGAGCTGCATTTTGCGGTTCTTCTGCCGTCATATCGACTAGTTGACGGTTTATGTAGGGTCTAGAATGTAGAGTTTAGGGTTTAAGGGAGGGCGGAGGGTTTGGAATTGCATGTGCTCCTGCCGTGGCATCTGTTTATAGAAGCAGAATCTGTTTCTTCTTACACGGGCATCTTTATTGCTTACTGGGTTTTGTGTGTCGAGTTCAAACTTGTTTGTTAATGTAAATGCTCAAGGTTCTATTGGGGAGGATTCCACTTTGCCCTATCATCGAGCCGGGTGCGATAAAATAGTTAGACATCGCAGAACTCTTAAGGCACGCCTCACATCCTCATATGAGCATCCGTCAAAACTTCCGTAATTGTAGTTAAGAGTAGGGTGACCGTGGTATTGTGGGATTTTGCCAATTTCCTTGGAAAGCGATAGGACCCCCCCAAAAGCGATACGATCAATGAGGATCCGCGGTATTTGTGCCTAGATTTTCCGTGTGAGATATGGCTAGGCAATCGATACCCTAATCGATACCTACTAGACCGTTTTATGAGCCATTGCCCCACAGGGCAAGCTACGAGTAGGATCAGTGAGTCTTATGGTCTGCTTACTTTCACAAGAGCAAAGCGATACCTCACAGAAACATGTGACAGAATCCTTGCAAAGCGATAGGACCCCCCCAAATCATCCATGGTTTAGCCATGAACAAGAAGTTTTGACAAGCGCTCATATCTTGCTGGCAACGCAGGTAGGAGTTGTCAGTAGCATCGTGCCTTAAAATCTGCGGGAGCACACCTAAGGAGTATTGGTGAAACCAGTTCGAATTGCTTTGGCTGCAGCTGTGTCCAGGAGATGCTGCTCAATCTTGCTTGCGCAGTGAGTGCCCAAATCAGTGTTTCAGTTGACCAGTCCGACCAAGCCGCCTGAACACAAGTGCCTCACATACATAGAAGCCTCAGCAAGCACTAGATATTGGGCCGAGGGCTCAAAGAAATGGCTGCGAATCCTAAAACATCCTAAAACCTAAGCCCCAAAACCTGAAGCCTCTAATCCTAAACCCAAACCCGAGATCTGACTTGAACGAAAATCCCAAAACCTGAGGCCCCTAATCCTAAACCCAGACCCGAACCCTGGAACCATCAAGCCTTAAGCAAAAAAACTTAGTAGCTGAGTGGGTAACCTTTAACCTTTTGGGGTTCATATAATCCTACCATAACAGAAAGGTTAGCCTCTTTTGGGGCTAAGGTATTCAGCCCCTAGGAAAAGCCTCAAGCCAAACAGGCTGTCTTTCCTGGATCCTCTAAGGTTCGTCTCCTCAGTGTGCCTGCCGTGCCTCATTCTGCGGAAAGCTTGCACCTTAGATTCGGGCTTGCTACAAGGACTCCAAAAAGGGTGGTTATGTGTGTGTGTGTGTGTGTGTTTTTTTCTGGTGTTGGGTTCAAGTTTTGATGTTCTGTACGTCGGGGTTTTTGAGGTTTGGATTTGAGGTTCAAGGCAAGTATCTGGCTAGTCCCCAAGCCCAGTGGCACAAAGGTAAGATATCCTGAAACCAAGGTACAGGGCTGCACATTAATCTTGCACACTGTATGCCAGTACATGGAAGCCTCAGAAACCGATATGTGGGAGCCCAAAAATAGCAGTAACGTCACTCGATTCTCGGATCCTTGATTTACCAGAGTTTAGCCACTGGATTGCCCAGCAGGCCCAGCATTCCCGCACGAGTCCTTTCCCCAAAGCATCTTAAACCACCCTAAACCCTGAAACCCTAAATTTCGTCGCTGTACCGGATTCTTCGCCAGGCTTGTCCTCTAAACTTACAACAAGCAGAACCAAATGCTCAGCGAAATACCGTTTTTGAGACTCCTCTGCGAGACTGGAAAGGGTCCTGCAAAAAAACCTCTGAGCCCCTAACGCCTATAGACCCTGAATTACCCCCTTAGACCCTAAACTTTTATATAAGCCCTAAACCCTCTATATCAGCCCTCGGCCCGGGCAGAGGCTCCGCCTCTCATCAGTCCGGCGCAGCTCTGGAGCGTTTGGCCCCTGCTCCCTGGCAGAAGTCATGGTGGGGCACAGGGTTAGTCCTCTATTAAATTAGGGCCTTTTTAGGCTCCTTTTTGCAAGGGTGCCATATTCTTTTTTTTGGAGGGGACCTAAGAAGGGGTCGCAATTTAGAGAACTACCCAAATGGTAATTGGTAATTAGAATAATCGTGTTTGGCCGCGAAGTCTTCGTTTTGTCCTTGCGGTGGGTCGCCAGCACAACGGGGTTTTCTCACGATCGTAGAAGGGATTACCAACAACTGGAACAAGTTCTTTGTGGCAGTCTGAGCCCGACTAGACTCGACCTTTCCACATCCGGCAGTTTCTTTGTGTGAGCATGTTGCAGGGTGTGGGATTGAGTCACGGCTTGTGTGGATGAGGTTTTTCCTCGTCACCAGTTACACTGTAGCTACAGGGTGGTGATACAAAGCCCAGCGCGGCACCGGATGAGAATGCAGGTCTTGCAACCTGCTCAAAACTCCCACAAACCCGAAGTGCTCCACCATTCCCTATATACTTTCGAAGTCCTCTTCGCATTGAACATCGACGTGCCCAGGCTGGTTGCGTGCATTTGTGTGGTCCTGCTTCCAAGCCGCACGCAGACACTGCCTAATTCTATCTGGAGTTAGGACACAAGCGTCGCATGCAAGGCCTGGGATGCGAGATTTAGGTTTCAGGGGTTCAGCTTCAAGGCTCTTCGGTAGAAGATCGTAGGATAGGCCACTGAGTTCCCAGTGCAGTCGTCGCCGACAGGTGCTCGATGAAAAGCGTGCTACATACGGTACACTCTCCGTTGCTTTCTGCATGTGTATGTAAGAAAAAGGCATGTGCAGATGTACATGTACGTATGTATGTGTGCATTTAGTATGTGGGTATGCCATTGTATGCATGTATATATCTAGGTAAATGCATGGTCGAAAAGGCAGGCATGCGCGCATGCACGCACAAACGCATGTGTGTGTGTGTGGTAGAGTGAAGATGAAGAAGAAGCAGGCTATGATGATAGTCATCATCTTGATATCGCTTCTGATGGCAATGATGATGGTTGTGGTGGTAATGGCAAGTCATGGTGATGATCCGGGCGTCGTGGAGGATGGGGCTGAAGAAGAACGGGGATTGTGAATTTTTACTGCCACTGTACTGCCTTCGTAACTACTCGTATTCGTACTACTCTTACTCTAGTGCAGTAATGCTTGTCTGCACTACAGCCTGCATATCAAGTTATGCCCTACGCCCTGCACCTTGACCCCTAAAACTTTGTGCTGTGCCTACCGGAAATCGCTATCGCTTGCTGGAGGGCCGTTTGAATTTAGGGTTGTTGTAGAGCCCCTAGGAAAATGGGGTTCAGATGGGAGCTGTCTTGGGTTCTGATTTGGGTTTACAAGGCAACTAGGGCTTGTCTAGGGCGCTCTGTCTGGAAGCAGCCAGGAAGACTTTCTAAAGCGCTGGGGAGTTTGCAATGAAGGGTTTTGTTCAGATAACAGGGTCAAGAGACTTTCATCCCTATTTCTGGACATCCTAAACTCAAAACCATGAGCCCCAAACAGCAGGGGGTAAAGAGCCGACAAGACTGCCGAAAACCCTACTAGAGCATGCTCAAAGACCTCAGGTTTGGTCTCTTCGCCGGGAAGCTGGCAGCCAAAGCCGTTGGGGCAGGCGGCGGGCTTGGTGAAAACGACTGTGAAAAAATAAACTTCGTACGATTGTCATAGCTTTTCTTGCAGCGCTTTTATTCGCCTTGGAGTGCCCTCATCGGTTGTGTAAGGTTTGCTATTGGTTGCTGGGGATTGTAACAGGTTCCTGTGTACTTCCGATGCCCCGGGGTAGTTGTAGTTGTCAATTAACCCTGAGGCTAAACCCAGGGGACGGGCGTGCAGAAGCCTAAGAAGTAGGACGCATATGGTAATGATGCCGTTGAAGAAAACAAGTAAGAAAACAGCTCCGAAATGGGAGAAGCGCGTTTACAGTGGAAGTTGGTGGGATTCAGGCCCGTTCATCCAGGATCGATGTTTAGCAATTGTTTCCGGCCATGCGTGCATATGTTGTTACCCTCAGCAATCACAATGATGAAGAATGGCACGCACCAGCGATAAGTAACCACAAGGAAGGTAATCGAAGTAGACCGCTCATAATTCCATGCACCATGGCAAGCATCACGAGCTCTCTGCCAGAAGTGAAGGGACTCATGGTGAACGTAGCGATGAGGAGTCAGATGGAGATCATTATCGGGCGCCATGCCATGACCCCACCGGGGCCTGCAATGCGATTGCCTCCGGTATATTGCACTCTGATGTTGCTTGTCAAACAGTGACTGCCTGCCGGGACACGCAGCTTTAACTCACAGGCTCAATATAGGGGTCCTTGCTAATTACTAGTAGTATTTCGGGGTTTCCTTATTATGGTTACAGCATAACATATCCTCAAACCCCATTCTAATTGAGTAAGGTCCCTATCTTAGTTACAGATGGTTTCTGGTACAAAGGTAGGAGCCAAAGCCGATCCCGGACCCCACGATGGTCCCAAGCGACACAAAACAAAGAGGCAAAGGTACACACCATCGAGACCAGCTTCTCGCTTCTGGGGCCATCTACCGAAATCGTGTTTGCTTCTTATTGGCTGTAAACTCAAGTTTTCAACCTTTGGGATTCTCATAAGTTAGTCGATTCTGAATGTAATTTTCTTGGGTTTTGGGCCAGTGAGGTTTCCTCACGTTCACGAGATCCTGCACAAGCATGACACATACTGAAGTTGGGTAGTGCCAGGGTAAGGTCATCCTGGACTTTCACTTCAATGCTCGGAGGGGAAGCCGACATATTGTCATCAGGCAACTACACTGGTCTGCTGATGACGGCAGTGGCCTTTCCGAACTCTTTCTCGGTGGAGCCGTCGCGACTTGAAACTGCAAAATGTCACTGCTACTTGACGACTTCTAGCTGCTTTTTTGCACCGCAGTTCGTCGTGAAATGCCCACTCAGGCTCTGCATCTCGCGCTCTTGGCCTTGGATCCCTATTCCTTTGCAACCTTAAGCAATGTACATCTGGAGGTTAAAGCACTGAAATCGCCATTGCGGCATCTTCTGGGCCTTTGCTTGTCTGTGGTGTTCCATGCCTTGCCGGAGGTTGGGACCTTTAGGTGAAGTGCGTAAACTCAAAGATGCGATAGATTTTTCCCATTCCGAGTTGGCTACCTTGGTTTCTGGATAAGCAAACAGGTGGGCGTAGGCGTAGGCAAACATGTCTGGATCCTGAGTAGCGGGACCATCATGAGCACACCGCAAAATGACCCTTCAACAAACAAACCCCAATAGCACGATTACGCCAGACCCTACACTCTTGCCTTGTCATAGGTTTCGTTGATTTAGGCGAAACCTAGAACCCGAAACACCCAGACCTTCCAAAATCCCTTAATTAAGGAATATACCTTAATTCATTTTAGGGATCCTATTATAATTTAAGGTATATTCCTTAATTAAGGGATTTTGGAAGGTCTGGGCACCCGTCCGTGCCAGGTCCCCATGACCTTGCTACTCAGTATCGGCCCGCATCAGGCTCTCCTGGATGAGGCCACTTGCCCAGAGAGCCCAATACCCCTTAATTAAGGAATATACCTTAAATCATAATGATAAGGCCCCTATATTTTAAGCCATATTCCTGAATTAAGGGGTATTGGGCTCTCTGGGTGGAGGTTTCGGGGGGTTGCGACTCGTGAGGTTTACCCCAAACCCCTAGACACCAATTAAACAAGAGAACCCTAAACCCCAAACCGCCAACCACGGACGCATTTGCAGACGGAAAAGGGCCCATAAACAAAAAAAAGCTAACCCCTAGACTAGTTAAACCCCAGGGGTGGGCAGTTTGGGGCTTTGGTCGCGGATCTTCCGGCTTAGAACCAGGGGGAGGGGCAGCAATCTTTGAGACGGCTTCCGTAGCAACAAGCATGTACGGCTCAAAGAAATTATGGCTGAAACTCTCAGAAAATCATGCTCTGATGTCTGTGGGTGTTGTGTTTAGGCTTTGGGGCTCACATGGGTCGGCAAGTGGTGATTCCCTTATACCCTACTGTAATCACATGGTATGAAAGCCCCAAAACCCTTCTCTGACTATTCGCAGCCTCACAGAGCCCCTTTTGCAGAAACCGTTTACAGGCATCCTTGTTCAAGAGGATATGGCCACCACAACTGCACCGAACCCTTGTCTTTTAAAGAAGCCCTTACCCAGGGGCCCCAAAGTAGTTCCTTTTTGGGATTACCTAATAAGATTCTATATACGAACCCCAAAAAGGAACTACCTTGGGGCCTTTGGGTAAAGCCTTAAAGGGTTCCTTGTTTAAGGCCCCCGCGTTTCTTGTAGCATTACGGCTTGGAAGAAGTTGCTTCTGCCCAAGGCAGAAGCCGAGCGCTTTGCCGAGAGCCCCGCAGACGTGGCACAGGCCCGGAGCCAAGCGGTAACGCTGGTGATCCTATTCTTTCGAAGTTACCCTGCAATGCGGGCTTTGTCCTGGCTAAGTAGGAGGGAAAAAGCACTCACAGCAAGGTTGACCATAGTATGACGATGTCGAGGACGATGTCAGTGACCCTGATTGCGCTGGAAATGATTGATCATGATGCGTGTTATGCTGGTGACGCGCGTAGTGATGGTGATGATGATAGTTAGTGGCGGCAGTGTTGGTAACGGCTTAGCAGTAGAGATCAGTAGAGCATGTTATACAGTAGCATGATGAAAGTCAGCATTTCTTACTTCCTTGACTTTCACTCTGACTGAGGCACCCTGAAGTCCTGATGAGAATCCTTTTTGTCCAAACCAGAACAGGAAGTCCACGACCGCATCGTGCTGCTCTTCCTGTCGAGCTACCCGCTTTGGGTCGTTGCCCGTGCGTTGCTTAGCGCGGGCTGTCAAGAGATGCCAGGAAGCTTGCGGTCTCATCCCGGGTGAGAGATGAGACTTCTGCAATGCGAGACCCAAGTATAGACAAGGCTTCAAGGAATACGATCATCGCGATTGCACCGCTAAAACACGGACCCCTACATCTGTTCAACCACCAGGAAGATTTTCAGCTCGCTGGAGTATGTTTCTCTATGGCACGGGCAATTTAGGCGCGAGCCTTTTCACAGCTGCCTGTTCCGGGAAAAGCCACTACGAGGCCATGCACCTGTGTATGTTGGGTTGCTGCCCTGTAAACCCCATAGCACCCCAGTGGTACCCACAACTCTGTAACTTGCCATATCCAGAAGTTTGCAGCAGGACGACGCAGCGAATACTCTTCAAGACATTCTCCAACCCCATGTCTTTCCAATTAGACCCGCCAAAGTTTGGGCACCCCTGCCGTAAACCCTAAACCCTATAGATCCCTTAGTAGAACCACCATAATACCTTTACAGTAAAAGCCAGAAAGTTGGAATATGATTATCCTAAACCCATTATGGTAAATTATAAGGTATCCTACCCTGAAACCATGTTCCAACTTTCTGGAGTTCCCTGTAAAACAGAACCCTGACATGCTCCAGCCCAATGCCTCGCCAACCTGACCTCATAGATCTCTGGCAGACCGAAAAAAGGGGCCCTAATAAACCTTAAACAATAATAAAGCCAACAAACTAGACGCTCGCTGCTAAAGCAAAGGGTGCATTAACAAAAAAAGCACCGTAAACCCTAAACCCCTAAACCCGAAGCCCAAAACCCTAAACCCTGAGTCGTAAACCCTAAAAAGTTGACTCCTTAAACCCCAAAACCAAGCCCGAGGTTGGGGCATCGGCTTTCCGATCCTTTCCGGCTCCGGGCTCAGTCAAGAATTTCTGAGCGTAGGATGTAATGAATCCAGCAGTCCTACACGATTGCGTGATCTTCGAGTCAAGCATGCAAGGCCAGAAGTGTTTCAACAGCGGTAGAGAGAAATCCCGGCAGGGCTTAAGGTATTTTCGACTCATAAAGTTACTGTATTTTAGCAAACCCAACACACACACACAAAGATTGCCCAGGTGCGCTCTCCTGCGCCCAGTGGCGGGAGAAAGTCTTGAATCCTCCAGTGAAGGCCATCATTCATGGAGAGAATTGCTGGTGTGTTCGGGATTTTTCGATGGTCACATCATTGTCGTTTCGTTCTGAGGGCAGAGTTTAGAGATGAGATTGCCGAGCAAAGCATGGCGCCTCAGCTGGATCCTCGATCCGGGTTCCAGGTTCCGAAATATTGGACCCTGATATAGAACTCTATATAGCAGGATCCTTGGAAATCAGCAACCTGAACGAAAGGCTTCAAGCGAGTGCGGCGAGTCCGCGTGATCCCGAATTGATTCCAGCACCAACGAGCCCCCGCTTTGGTTAGTTCACCGCCGACAAACCAAAAAGCCGTCCCTGGCAAAGTTATAGGTGATTGATGCTCTTTAAGTACTTGGAAGGCGGTCTTTGTTAGGGCTATCGCTTGCGTGAAACCATGAATATTTAACCATCAGCCCTAGCCGCAGTGGTACGTTGACGAGGCCAGTTTGATGGCTCTTCCTCTCGGTCTCGCCACCTTGCTGACATGAAGACCCGCAAAACCCTGTTACTTAGATGTTCGGGAGTGCATGGACTCGTATACGGCCTTTCAACATTGGAGTTTCAGGCATTCAAGATCAGGGTTTACAAGCAGCTAAAAAGAGGGTGCATAGGGCTTGCTGGGTTTGGGGTTTACGCCTGTGCAAGCACTAATTTGTGCATGTTCCCCTTCCGACTTCTGATTTTGAGGTCACCATGTGTGCTGGGCCTTAATCGAGGGTTGATAAATTGAGTTCTGTCAGGTAGAGGGTTTTAGCCCAAGTGCATACCCTGTGAGTGGCTATTGACAGTCTGCACTTCGAGTTTCCTGGCCTTTTCCTCTCTGTGTTGTGCACATACCAATAGGCTCCATAGCAGGTCCTTTTTGGGATTACATTATAGGATTCTAAATATGAATCCCAAAAAGGAGCTACTATGGAGCCTCTACGCAGGCTGTTGCAAGGGTTCCTTTCCAAGCTTGCGCTACGGGTTAACCCCCACCTGGACCCTCAAAGTACGGAGAACAATAGTCTTTTAGTAGGTAATAGGGTCTTTGGTGCACTCCAACCCTAACACCCTTAAACCCTAACAGTGTCCGAAACTGAGTGTCAAAAAGACCTCGCCAGGCTTGTCCGAGAGTGAGTGTCAAGACGGTGTGACGCTCCAAGGTCTACCACCTCCAAGACGTTGGCCCTCCTTGGGCTTCTGGGTTGTACCTTGGGATCTTTTTTAATTTCCCCTACTATTTTGCAGAGAACCATAACAGTAAGTAATTTTCAAGGGGCTTAAAGGACAACTCAGGCTTGGGAAGCAGTGGCAGAGTCGCTCAAGCCAGCCGAAGCCTCGGATTCTGACACCTCCGTGTTTCGGGTTTCTTTTTTCTAATTCCAAGTAGCCTTATAGAAGGAAATCAGAACAGTATGCCTTAAGATAAAGTTTTCCAGGGTCCAGGTAGGGGTTTGGGATTAAGGACTTTGCTTTCGCTTTGGGCTTGGGGGTTCAGGGTCGGCTTCCGCTGCCCAAAGCTTCTTCAGCTTGCATTGACTTGAACTCGGCTAGCAGGAACCCCCGAAACCTTGTAATCGAAAAGGAGCCTTGAGAGAACCGGTAGTGCAAGCAAGGGCAGGGACAGGAACTAAGAGATAGCAGAAGTAGACGTAGAAGTTGAGATCAGTTATGTAAACGTATTGCCGCCAAGCAAAGGCGGCAGCTACAAGAATTGCAAGCCTCTGTAAGTACACTAGCTGGAAGCCTTAGAGTTAAGACGTACTCGTGGCTAGGGTCGGGAGGCCCTTCTGTTCAGAAAAGGTGCATAGTGAAGCTCGTCATCGACCTGTATGCTTGCGAGACTTGCCGTTGCTCAAACGGTTGAAACTTAGAGTTTAGGGTTGCAGCTTGTTTTCTTCTCTTCAGTCAGAAGATTTCAGAAGCTGGACATTAAGGCCGTCAAAGCGCTGGACTATGCTGGACGATGCACTGTGCCGTTGCTTCTGATGGGGCTGGGTGCAAAGGCCGACGAAATGTCGTGTTGACGTGCTTTAGTTTTGGTGTGGCGGCAGGGAACCCTCAACCCTAAAGTATCAGGATCGGGGAATCGCAGTTGAGATGTTCCATTCGGGATACATGCCACAGCGCACAGACGAAAACGCGGGCTTGAGCCTGGTTTGGGGTTTCGTCCTTCCATCAAAATGCAAAAGCCTTCTGTAAGAGAAAATACAGTGGCCCTCGCACCCGGGGTTGAGGCTTCGGAATGTGGGGCCAGGCGACTTGGTAAGTGGTAGGCTCTAAAGCGATGATCACCGAATCAGTAAAAGGAGGGACCCGTAATAAGGACCCCTAGGTATATACCCTTAATGTAGCTGTTATATACCCAGTCTATAACTACTATTTGCTTAAGAAACCCCCCCAAAAATAAATAATAATCCCTATTTAACCCCCAATAAGGAATATTTTTTTATTTTTTGGGTGTTCTTAAGCAAATAGTAGATAAGGAGTCTCCAGGCCCGACTTCTATCCCGCTCGACCTTGTGTTTGGAAGACTCCATCAAGTACACGCATCACCCAACTGCCATTTGAGAGCCGAACAAAAAGACACTTTCCACATCTTTCCACTAATATACAGTCAGGGCCTAGATAACTACCTGTACTAGTTTAAGGGTTCCTTTTTTGTAGTTATAATATACCCCAAGACTCCTGTGGCTGGAGCCCTAGGTGTCGTTTGGGTTTGTCGACCCGGTTTTGGAGCATCTTGTCTTGTCGCTGCAGATAGACGGCAGCTTCAACGAAGTGCGCAATGCGCCTCGTTCGACAGGTGGGATGCTGCACGCGAAACCCTACATGATTGCGGTATAACGAGCCCCAAACCCTAAATCCTGTCAGGGTTTCAGAGGTCCGGCCACTTCGAGGATGAGGATTTAGGGCTGCAAGATTTAGAGATCTAATTCGTGTTTCTTGGTGTCATGAAGGTTCTAAGGTGGTTGGGGCTTGGTGATACTGTTCCTTAGGCTTCCTGAGTACAGTCAGAGTTATAGCAAAATGCCCCCTCACCCCGTTCGAACGGTTAACGCCCTCTATTAGGGTAGTTGTCGAAATTAAGGTCTCTTTTTGGGCACCCTAAATACTAGGCGCTGTCCTATATTAGGGACCCAGAAAGGACCATAATTTTGACATCCACCCACGGGTTTCGAAGGTTCGTTGGGGTTTCGAGGCTGACCGACAGCCCGGTTTGAACATGGTTTCTTCTGGTTGCAGGAACCAGCTCTGGGCTCCACTACTTCCTTGATAGTCCATTTTTTGGGTTTAGGGTTTAGGGTAAAAGGGTTTGGTAGTCCATTTACAAGTAGACTAGTATGGTACATATCCCCAAAGCTCGGACCCATTCTGATGATCTGGTCATCTGTATCATGGCCCCTTAAATCCCAGCACAACTGTTGCCAGGATACCAGAAGCTTGAGACACCCACTGCACCACCGACAACCGTCAAGCATCCCGGCACTGATAAGGTGTGGGTGACCTCCTGCACATTCTGATCAGTCTACTTAATAATGCGTAACACCAGAGCTGCCTGCTGCTCCTACTCCAACTACCGCGGCAGCCGCTGCGACAATGACGACGACGTTGAATGCTCTTCTCATCTGTTGTACTGCTACATTGACATGGGAGTCCTGTTTTCATGACTACAAACAGTCGGTTCGGCTGATCCTTTCTGAGAACAGAAGCAGCAAGAATCAGAGTAAGGATTGGTGCTGCTCAAGAAACGAGCGATGCAGAAGCAGGCTTGCCTGCACTTCCTGACATATGGGGCTGAGAAGATGGGGTTTCATGGCTCAGGGTTTCAGCAAAAAGAGGCTAGGGGTTGTCATGAACACCACACTCCACATCTGGTCTTGTGTGGTCTTGTGTGTTCACTGGATTGGATCTCTGACTTCTCCTCTTTGAAGCTATCTATCCGTCGGTCCGTGTATCCATCCATCTGCTGTCGCCCTAGAACCATAGTTGCGATCTTGTCGTAATCCCACACCAGGTGCTAGCCTGTGTCGAGCGGTCAGGAGAGAGACGCAATATATAATTGAAAGGTGTCACTCCGGCTGAACATTTTCGCGGCGTGCGCAGGCGCTTCATCGCATAAAGTAATCTACCACCCCCTAAGCACAGCCATCATTCCATTGGCAGCCCCCCTCCCTCCAATCGGAATGCCTTGCAATACAGAGTCTGGGCAGTTTGTATGACAAGCTCCTTGTGTCCGCGAGAACCTAGCAAGTTCTGTGCGACATAAAAGACATGTTCTTCAGCCTCAACACTGTATAGCCGGTTGGGAGGTTCATGAAAAGGTAAGTGTAGCTGAAGTAGGGTTTCTGATGCTTTGGCCGTTGCGCGTTCGGCAGGGGAGAACGGCACAAAGAATGCTGCTCCCACGACATCTCCTACCGGCACCTGCTCCTCAGCTTTGAGGAGGTATAAAGTAGGGTTTAGGGGTGTAGGGTTTAGGGTTTTGGCTCAAGGGATACACTCCAAGTCCGTGCTCAAAAAAAGGGCTCAAGGGATCATTCCACCAGTTGCCACTTGAGCTTCTGTTGGTTCTATAGTGGGATTTGCCTCCAGGGTTTCAGGCAGGTTGTATTAAGTCGCCTGGATGCATATCCTTTTGCAGGACTGTGAGAGAGGGGCATGCAAGCTCAAGCCCAACAGTTCTGCAGTAAGGCAACATGTAGCCCCTCCTGACGCCTTATACAGCTATAGAACCTTTCGAAACCCATCGAGACCTTCTCAGTTCCTTTAGTCGTAGACTGGTTTAAATTTGGTATTGGGATGTAGGGATTGGGCGTCAGGTTTTGGGGTCGAGGTCTGGCTAGACTGGTGCCCAGTGGGCCAGTGGGAAATAGAGACGGAACAGTCCGTGCTTCAGCTTCTTCTCCAAAAGTGAAAGTGTTGCTGTGAGTCTTGAGCCAGCAGTGCAGCATTGAGTCACGTTCGGCATGCCAAAAGCCAGCCGTCACAAGATTGTCTTCCACTCGCTCCACCTTGATCCGGGGTGTGGCACTGCAACTGGCTATGGGTTGCGTCGCCGGCGATTTTGCTTTCATGGGCCCGGCTGTTATAGGCCGTTATGCCTTTGTTGCCATTCCGATGTGTTCCACACTTTTAACCATGGGGGGTCTTACTAAAATCAAAGAAATCCCGCAGCAGAGAAGCTCGTGAAGCTCCACGGTTCTGGGTTCTCGTTCAGGAACTTAATTAGTTTTAAGTTACCATAACAAGGAAGCCATGTATGATTTACTATAGATCTCTATTATTTTAACTTAATGTAAGTTCCATAATGGGGAAACCATAAAGAGATCTCCATTAACTATGGTAACTCAATTCAAGTTCCTTAACAAGAGCCCAATTTTGAGTCAGGCCCGCCGCCTCTGCCGCGGTCGGCGTTGTTTGCGGTTATGATGCTACGTCGCGTGAGCAGCAAGCAGAGACAGGCCAAAGGGTGCCTGTTTAGATGAAGATCGTCCTACAGCTTCCTTTGCTGATTTCCCTTGACTCACAGAAAGTTGTCATCGAGCGGGTCTGACCTGGCTCGCATGTGATATAGGAGCTTGGTCATTACCAAACACTACTTCCGTTTCGTTCCATATCAAAGTTAATTACAATACGCCCCAAGGCTATCTTCTTTCGAATCAGGCTTAAAGCTGATTCGATGTGTGGGCACCTAAGGTCAATTTTTGGGACCGTTGCTGGGCCTTGGACTTGCATCTCAGCTGCACCTGGTTTAGGATACCCTAAACCCCTAAAGCAAAAACCCCCGAGAAGATGAACATGGCGATGGTTGCGATGAAAAACATCATGAAGCTGGTGGTGATGACACAGTCGAGCATGCACAACGTGACCTTGCCCATGATGAACCACCTGAAGATGATGAAGTATGTGATGCTGAAATTTGAGTGTGAGTGGGCTACTTACTAGTTAGTGCAGAGCCGTGCGGGGCAGGCTTTGGACCTGCACGTCATGCGGAGCAAGAGCTATTGCACTTAAAAACCCAAAAACCCCAAACCCTTTTACCTTGTTAAACCTTAAACCCTTAAACCCTAAACGATCCCTTAGAGTTGTCTCACTCAGCAGACTCGGAGCCACCTGCCTCGCCTGGATTGTCCGAGTGCGAGCGCCGAAACCCTAAACGCCTTCGGCCGCCTTAGGGGTTAGTCTGAACCGCAGATCGCCAAAGACCCTCAATCTAGGGAACGCCCAAAACGCAAAATCCTGCAGTTCAGGAAGTCTGAACCCCGGCTGGTGCATTGAGGTGCTGGTTGAGATGTGGGATTTCTTAGCTGCAGGAGGGTCCGAGGGAGTTTAGGATAGTAGCTCGGTAGGTTAGTATTTGGGAGAGTATATCGATATCAGGTACTTGGACCATGATGGTTAGGATTTGGGGATTGGGTTGTAGGTTGTTCCCATATCATCAAAGGATGTTGTGGACACACCGCCCAGCCCCGAAATGCGGGAGATGTATGTGTGTGTGTGTGTGCGTGTATATATGCGTATGTTTATGTATTCATATATTCTCAGACATACATTTCTACCTACCTAAAATAAATATATATATATATATATATATATATATATATATGATATGTACATATGTACACATATACTTTGGTACATGTACATGCATGTGCATGTGCATGCGTGCGTGCATGGGCAGACGAATGGATGGACGGACACACGCGTTTCTATATGTTTATACATGCATCTGTAAAATGCTTAATGGTTGGCTTATGCCTTTCAATGTTGTACATGTATTGCTATCTTTTGGGTTTGCAGATGTGTGTTACGTTTCCGTCTTTAGTTTGCCTGCCTGTGAGCCAATCACGTTGGTACAACAGAGGTGCACCTGCACAGAGTCCGAGGTGTTTGTTTTGAAGAAGTTGTTCGGTGTGACGGACCGTCTCGTCCTCATGATCCTCGGCGAGAGAGAGAATATTCAGATGAGTTGGTCCTCAAAATTTCAAAAAACTTGCATTATCTACACTACATGATGAATTACAACCAATACTGGTAACAACGATCATGAGACATGTGTAGAAAAAGAACAAAAGTGTTGTAAGGAATGGAAACCATACTACAGCTTGTAAAACTTTACATCATGACAGTTGCTCAAAGCAACATGCTCATCAGCGCAAGCAAATCCTAAGTCCTAAGCCTTAAGAAGGCACACAGATGTTCTCTGCATCTTTTGTCTTTCCCACCTTCCTTGGAAGAGCCCTGTCTGGTGGTGGTGGTGGTGGTGGTGGTGGTGGTGGTGGTGGTAGGGTTTAGGGTTTAGGGTTTAGGGTTGAGCTGGTGGTGACAATATGGGAGTTTCCGAAAATAGGGGAACCTTAATTATAGTACCCTAAATAGTAGGATCCTTATTATAAGGCCCCCAGAATAAGGTACCCCTAACTTTCGGAAACTCCCATATTAGCAATAGAGGTCGACCAAAGGCCCTTGACTCTCCAAAACCCATGCTTGTAGCTCCACAATATTGGTCGGAGTCATGAGTAACAGTATTCCCTTGCACTCCCTTGAGAGTAGTAGTACGTAATAACATCGAGTACAGCCAAAGGTTTCTATGTTTCCCTCGCATAGCATGCTTGTTGATCGTTCTTTCCGGAATCCGCGCCTGCTTGCAGGTGCGAGTGTGCTTTTCGAAAACTCCCCCAACACCACAGAGCCCCTGCACATCAAACCCTAAACCCCGAACCCTAAAACCTAAAACCCTAAACCTTAACGCGCTGAACCCCTAAACCCTAAACCCTTTTGTCCAGTGTCCCTGATGCTTTCAACAGAGAGATTCCAAGGAGAGGTTTCGCAGACCGGTACAGTTACTTTAAGTGTTGTTATTCTTTGTTGCTGAAATGTAGTGACGAAGCCTCTTAGTGTCGTTTCACTCTGCAGACTCGAACTCATATGCCTCGCCTGGTTTGTCCGAGTGTGAGCGCCGAAACCCTTTTGTGCCCGAGGACTCTCCTCCTTCAAACCTGTGGTCCTCCAATGATCAACCTCGCTGTGATGGCCGGCGTTGCTCTGCCGCAGGGGCTTGGGCTTCCATGAGTGCGAGTGTATCCCTTGTAGAACCCTAGTGTAGGGTAGAACCCTAATGCAGGGGCCTTAATAATTACCTACATGACAGAACCGGCATAATAGCCCTTGTAGCATCCCCAACTCAACCCTATTGCCATGTGGATCCGTCGTATCCTGATTCTGAGCCGCGCCCAGATACTTGTTTCTTCCTCCGAAGATGCAGGGAAGTGGATTCCCATCCATGATTCAGACAGAATGCTGGCCGCGGATGCCTGGAGATGATGCTGCAGCTCCAGTACTCAAGGCAGATTCGCAGTTGTAACAACTACATTACGTATCAACATGCAACCATCATTATTTCACTGACATTGAATATGACTGCTTATCACAATGCAGTTATATTCCGACACATTTGGTCATTAGCCACCGTGCGGACGTTGACTTGAACGAACGACAGATAATGGATATTTGTTATACCATGTCCTGACTATCCATCATTTTACCATCGTCATAGCACGACATAAATAGTGTCATGCCATCACCTTAACATGAAACCCTCATCTTGAATGCAGGTACAAGCACTGAGAAGAAGAAGAAGAGTCGCAGCAGTAATAGTGGTAGTAGCAGTAGCAGCAGCAGCAGCAGTCGCAGTGGTACTGGTGGTGGTGGTGGTGGTGGTGGTAGTAGTAGTAGTAGTAGTAGTAGTCGTACCAGCAGGAGTCGTAGAAGTAGTAGTAGTCGTCGTCGTCGATGATCATTTTGCAAGCAACTAAATATGAATCAGTCGTCGTAGCAGTCCCTGAACCGAGGTTTCGGGGAATGCTGAGAAGGCCAGCCTCAAAGCTCAGGGGCTTTGTAATCCGTTGGGACAGGGTACGTAACCTTAAAACCTTTTCTGCTGCGTGGGTTCTAGTCGGCTTCAAAGGTTCAGGGTTCAGAGATCCTACCATAGTTGCCACAGTTCAACAGGTTCACCTTGTTTGGGCTATATAGGGTATTCAGCCGTGACTCCCAAACTTGAAGATGCGTATCTGGGAATCCGAACAAGTGAATTTCGCAGTTTGCTTGCATATGCTTTGGATGTGGTACAGCAGCTGGTTGTGGCAGGCCTGGCTATGTGATTTTTTGAGGGCTTGCAGGAGACTGGGTAGTTCCTAAATTCAGGGCGTAGGGTTTAGGGCTTACAGGTAGGAGGTTTCCATCCAAGCGGGCATATACAAGTCTGTGCAAAAGGAACGTAGAGTTAAGGGTCCGTAGCATCGCACCGGGTTTAGGGTGTTACGTCTGTTTGGTGTTCTTCCTTCGGTGTTTTTGGATTCCATCGCACGAGTGGAATCATTCCCCCGCCCCCAACTGATCGTACAAATGCCGGCAGTAGCCGACTAGATGCTGCAGAAGTGTCCCGCCCGGCGGACATGTATTTGCGACATGTGCGGTGATGTTGAAATTCGTGACATTGGCCGTGATCTCGGATGATCTCGGTATAGGTTGGTCAACTCGAACACTATGAGCAATAGTGGTATTGCTAACAACTTCTGATATCTCGTGCCTGGACAATCAAAATTATTGTCCGCCTTCAGGAAACGGCGCGGCTTTTGCTCGTCACTTACTCCGCCTCCGTGCCTAGGATCAGCAATCATTTCGGGGTGGTGGCAGGCAGCCGGGCGACGGGTAGTCCAATCGATCCCTTTTAAGTCAAACTGGTACGGCGCTCTTACAAAAAGACCCTAAATGGGGCCTTTATTCAGAAGACGTTCCAGGCATGGGCGAGAAGCAGCAGAACCACATCAGAACCATCACCGTATTGAACCTGAGGTGCATGACGAAGGTTAGTTGTTTGTGCAAAAGTGTATTACCTCCATTAGCCAGCTCACTGTGTAATAATGACTGCAACAACACAAGCCGTAGTAGTAACTTTTCAGTACCTACCATCGAAGTGGTAAGTAGTAATCGTTTTCTAGCAGTATTAATGGCATTATACAGAGCATGGTGGTAGCAATACAGCTGAGAATCAAGAGAAACGAAGAGTAGCAACACAATAATGATGAAGCCAGTTTTCAGAGCCTCGGATGGCCCTCCCAGGTGTTGACGTGGGTGCTTTGGACGACTGTTTTCCTGGCCGTGCTGTAGTTTTAAAGCTCCACTGCCGACCAGGACGTAGGCTTATGTAATATGGAGGCTTAAGTAATTACCAGTACTATTTTGGCTCCAACCTCTGAGACTTTCCTAAGCTCGCAACCTTCTATGTGCAGGGCAAAGAGTTTAGGGTTCCCTTTTGCGTGAGTATTGTTCATTGGAAGTGTAGGTTGCCATAGATTGTTGCTTCAATTGTGCAGTGGATGCTTCCCGCATGAGCTGAGAGCTTTTGTTCGGGGACACTACCGCGACGCAAGTACTTGCCGTCGGATGTCCTCTTTTTATGCTGCACCTGAGATTGTCTGGCACCTTGTGAGGGCAAGCATGCCTGTGGACTCGACAAAGAAATTTTCCGAAAGTAGGGGTTAGACTCGACTCTACAGATCGCGATTGACCCCGAATCTTCTGAAGCATCACTTCGGAATACTCTGTTCTTGAATGCCTTCTTTCGCACCGAGTCTTTCAGGAACCCAGACCTCCTATTGCCTTCATTTGTTAATCAGGTTGCCTAACCTGCTTAAAAGCGTATGAAAGATAGCACACCGAGAGAAATGGAGGGAGCTAAAAATGCCAATCCAATTGTTGGATGCCCTAAACCCTAAACCCCTAAACCCCTAAACCCTAAACCCTAAACCTGCCATTTGGCTCAAGGCATTTTGGCTCAAGCCAATGCTCTCAGATGAGGTGCGCTCTGCTGTGCCCTACCACTCATGCGCATGCACCAATGAAGGGCTGGGGCACACGGGTAGAGATATTGTGCACAACTCCTCTTTACCTCCCTAACCCGCGCGAAGCGTCGTTGCCATGGCTACAGCGGGAGACGAAAGTCCTGCACGACGGAGATCTCGATCGAGAACTAGGTCACCGTACAGGCCACTGGCTCCCATCAGTGAGATGGAGGCACAGAGCCTCTACGAGAATGGTGTGCCGCCCTCGCTGGTGAGACACATCGGCCATGCGATGAGAGCAATTGACCATTACAAAAGACAGGATGCTGGCTGGACGACTGCAGTGTTACGTGAGACACTGCAGGATACAGTGGATGCTTTCACCAGAATGATCGAGGTACTTGACGTGCGGTTGGCGGAGACACCAGTCAACAGAACACCGCCGGACGATGAGAGGAGAGAACTTCTGCACTTGATTTCGGATGCTGCACGCAACATCCCTAAAGCATCGGTGCAGATAATCCAGAATCGTTTGGACATGGCTGGATCCACACACGCTTCCCTTGCAAGCCCAACCACAGCACCGCTGAAAGACAGGGCAATCTTGGCCAGCGTCGATGGGAGTGCACTGCATGAGGAATGAATTCCTGAACTCAGGACACCCAGGCTGCTTTCCGATCTGCCCTGCATGTGCTTGAAGCCTGTCCTGAATTCACGAATTCATGTGACTGCAGCGACACAGACAACCAATACCTTGTTGGCGACGAGGTCTGCATGTGTGAATTTATGAATTCGGGATGCCTGCAAGCATTCCAAACTCGTGAATTCGCGATGGTGAGGCATGGACGTGCAAGCTGACACAACGATGGCCTTGGGCTGTGGAATTTGAAGGGAACTTTGCTGGGACTGTTGGCTTTGGCAAGGTGGCACTGCATGCCATGAATGCCGGCGATGAGCGATGTGGCACTGCATGATATATGACACAGCTGCGTATGAAACGCTGAACGAATTTGGAACTGGGTATACCAGTCCTCTGGAATTTGGCGTGCAAGTCCTCCTATGAAGTACGGATGCCATTTTGGCAAGTGAGTGAATGACAGAATTAATTGAATTGATGAATTGCCGTGTATGCCTGTGAATTAGCATCGTCAAACTGAGAGCCCTTGTCTGTAGCAGTCGGGGCGACAGTCACCTTTTGAAACAGGGGCCATGCCCAACCTTGTGTCAGCTACATCTCCGGGGTATGCCATTATCTGGTTGCTTGATACATATATGTGTGCTGATTGCTTGTTAAGGGATACCCTGGGATGCCTGACGTTGTGGAGATACGGTGGACTATGTGGAGCCTTGCCTGCCTGTGCGAGTGTGAGCGTCGAAACCCTAAACCTCGCTTTTTTTGAAAATACTTCTCGGACCCCCAGTGGTGTCGTCGGTAGGCGGTCCACGGGTTACATGGTTGATCGGTGACACCCTAATATGGTACCCTAAATAATAGGATTCTTATTATATGGACCCCTAAATAACGTACTAGCTGGTTTCTGGGCTTTCGCATGCAACTGCCGTCCGAACGGACTACTTTGTCTGTCCAACGTAGGCCTTTTTTGTTTGGTTGGGGAGTCTTCGGAGCCTCCCGTCCTAAACCCCCCGAAGTTCTGGCCTCAAAACTCTGAGCCCTTGGCACCGAGACAGCCAAGTCCATGGACCCCCGCCTTCGCAGGTCCTGGGAGTACGTGGTGCAAGGCCGAGGGCTCAGAAGCCGAACTGTTCCTTCGGGGTTTAGATCGGTTTAGGGGTTCAGGATTTAAGGGTTGATGAGATAAGGGTTTAGATTTCTTGGATTTTTGGGTTCACAGCTTTCGATCGCAGCTCCTGAGATTTTTTGCAGGGCTTAGTTTGGCTTAGAATCTGCTCAGCTTAATTGAGGAATATAGCTTAAATTTTAAATCATAATATGAAGCCCCTTACAATTTAAGCCATATTCCTTCATTAAGCGGTATTGGGCTCTCTGGGCATCATAAACAAGGACTACTTGGACCCTAGCGGCTAGCGAAGACCTCGAACACTTCCCCTGACGGTCCAAGTACTCCCTATTATGGGCTTTTTGGGCCTCTTTAAGTACGGCACACCATAAAGAAGGACTATTACGCGATTTTGGGGCCTCCTTTAGTACGACACACCATAAAGATGGACCCCTGGGACCCTTAGGGTTTCATCCTGACGAGGTCTGGGAGTTTCCAAAAATAGGGGACCCTAACATAGCACCCTAAATAGTAGGATCCTAATTATAAGGACCCCCAAATAAGGCACACCTCATTTTCGGAAACTCCCAGGTCAGTATGATCGCCTGGCCGATCAAACCGATTTCGCTCCGAAGTTGGTGTCCTGCTTCCCAGAGGACTCAAGTCTCGCATGTTTAAGGCTGCTTAGGGTTTTAGGGGTTTAGGAGTTTAGGGGTTTAAGGGTTTAGGGGTTTAGGATTTAGGGGTTTAGGGGTTTAGGCCTGGATGCAAAAAAGGGGTTTGGGGTTTAGGGTTTAGGGACTCAAGTCTGGCCTGGTGATGCTTGGGAGGTTAACCTGGGAGTTTCCGACAACTAGGGGGGGTACCTTGTGTCGGGGGTCCATATAATAAGGATCCTATACTATGTAGGGTACTATGCCGGGGTCCCCTGTTATCGGAAACTCCCACCTCACTCCGTGTGTTGTATAGAAAGGTGTTTTAAAATTATATCTCAATATGATATGCAGGTACAGTCGTATACAACCACATACACATGTGAGTATGCAATAAGCGGCTGGCTCGGCTCCTGCGTATCAGCGGGCGAGATTGCGGGGAACATGATGTCGTGATGTAGAAGTTGGGCTACCTGTGACATTTGTGAAGGAGGGGCGTGATGCTGGGGCTGATGAGGACTGCGACGATGGCGGTCAGAACGATGATGAAGATGATGATCATGATTCTGGTTGGTGCTGGTGCTGGTCCTGCGACGCTGCAAGCAGTGGCCTTCAGTTTTTCGGCCTAAAGACTGCTGCGAGACGATGCCTGGCAAGTCGTTAATTGATGCCTTTTCTCGGCTTCCTACTGCTGTATAAACATGAGCATGTTCAACGAGGATCAGGCAGGTAGCTACAATGCGAACATGGGTTCAACCTTGATCGTTCATTTTCTAGTGTGAATCTTTCTATTGCCGCCGTCACAGGCAAAAATCCGAAGGATGCACGGCCAAAAGCGTTTATATTCATCATCAATTACAGGAGGTCTTGCGCGATGCATGAGACAGATGTTATCTCCTTTGGTCATAGTTTTAAGTGCCTCCGTGGTGCTAACGGCAGCAGTGCCGCAATGTCGTCCTGTTGATGGCGATTGACTCTGAGTTGCGGTGACTAGTCCTTGCTGGTACGTTGAATGCTCGCCGCTGCTAATGTTGCATAATTAGGGCCCCAAAAAAGCACATAAGCAAAAATTAGGATAGTGATATCCCATATAAACCCCCTTATAATGAAGCCCAATAAGATAGGGATATCCCCATAAAAATGCTTATGCTTATGTGCTTTTTGGGTCCCTCAATAATGTTGCATACTTAGCCCTAAACCCTAAACCCTAAACTCTAAACCGGTGAGGACGCAGTAGCCTGCGCTCGCTCGCGAGGCCCAATCTGTTCTGCTGCAGGGCTGTCGCTGCACCAACTCTTGGACAGTAGGGTTTAGGGTTTAGGGTTTAGGGAGCAGCCCCTAAACCCTACACCCAGCTACCCTGCAATGCGGGCTTCGTTGTTGCTAAGTAGGAGGGATAAACACCCAACAAAAACACCCTCGATGTAGGACTTAGTAGCTGACTGGATACACTTTACATTTTTTTGGATAATATTACCCACTCCTTGATCATGGCACGGCAGAGAGAGAGAGAGAGAGAAAGACAAAAAACTGAAAGTGTACACTTTTGCGGGGGCTTATGAAGTCAGCAACTAAGAGGAGCTTTCGTTGCCGACCTCGCATCAGGTGTGGCTTTTGTGTGCACTCGCGGACGTCGGGTTGCGAGCTCAGTCACATGGGTCCTTTAAGGGTCCATGGACCCAAATGGGAGTTTCCGAAAATTAGGGGTACCTTATTTTAAGGATCCTACTTCTTGGGGTACTATATTAGGTTCACCCCATTTTCGGAAACTCCCAAATAGTGTATTAAGGCCAACGTATGTAAGTTTGGGTACATGGACCCTTAGGGGTGGTGAGGGGACGGTTCTGGGCATCGTAGCAATCAGGCTTGTGCTGGAAGGTGGGCATGGTCTCAAATATGGGTGTTTCCGAAAATAGGGGACCCTAATATACTGC